GCCGCTCATACGACCTCTAGCTCTAGTTCTGCACCTTTATTAATGTGTTCTTTATATCACAGACCCGACCGCTAGTGCCGCTCATATACGACCTCTAGTTCTGCTCCTTTATTAATGTGTTCTTTATATGACAGACCTGACCGCCATAGGCGCCGGAAGTAGGGGGCAGGGGGGCAGTTGCCCCCCCAGTCAAAAAGTGGGGGGGCAAAACGCATTTTTGCCCCCCCAAAACGCCCCCCCCCCCCTCCAAAAAAAAAAAAAAAAAGCAGTAAAGGAATAAACATGGTTTGTATTTTTAACCCAAAAGAACATAACAATAATAAAAACCTGAATTAAAGCACATATACCATTCCATTCAAAGAAAAGGAAAGTTCACAGGAATTAAATTTTTATAAACATTGCGCATGCTACCTATACGGTTTATAATAGCGATACGCGCATATCGTGGACATATTGTGCGAGAATGGGAAAACGTGTCTGTTTTTTTGGTTTTGTTATAGGGGTGAGAAGACATGAGCCCCTGAACGCTGGCGTACTGATGGGGGGGGGGGGTATATCTATACGATACCAGTGATTTACACATGTTGCTGTTATGACATGATTTTCCGGTATTTTTTCTCCATTTTTTTTTAAGTCATACCTTTTTATGCGTTTGTTGGAAAATAAGAATTCCCAAATTACAGTCGGGCGAAAAATACGCTTATTTAGAAGCCTTTATGACATGGTCTGCAAAGTGGCTGGGCTCGAGCCCCTCCCCCTCACCTTTTGAAAAAGTATGTTAAAGAGAAAAAGAAAGAAAGACGGAGAGAAAAAATAAGTGACCTGCCAATGTCACAAATAAGGCATAAAAAATGCTCATCTGACCGTAATTAAATGCCTAAAACCCCAGAGCTTACGGGTGCTCCGCCCCCGGACCCCACCAAGGGCCCTAAGGCGGGCCCCTGGATGCTCATCTGACCGTAATTAAATACCTAAAACCCCTGAGCTTCCGGGGGCCCTGCCCCCTGGACCCCACCAAGTGCCCTAGGGCGGCCCCTGGTTGCTCATCTGACCGTAGTTAAATATTAAAACCTCTGAGCTTCTGGGGGCTCCCCCCCCCCCTCTGGAACACGTCAATGGCCTTAAAGAGGCCCCTGGATGCTCATCTAACCGTAATTAAATACCTAAAATCCCTGAGCTTCCGGGGGCTCAGCCCCTTGACACCCTGCCGAGGCTGGACCCCACGCCAATTTACGCTCTACCTGATCGTTAATACTTCACTTTGAAAAACGTTCCGCGGGACCTGCATGTAACGTGTAAGACTGGTGGTGATGCAGATTTTTCGTCTGCCCCCCCCCCCTTCCGAACGTTTTTTCTCATTACGTCACTGCCCTCGGAAGGTGAGCCCCCTGGAATGTTTGCCCCCCCCCCCCCCCCCCCAATCCCAAACTGCTTCCGGCGCGCCTGCTGACCGCTATAGTGCCGCTCATACGACCTCTAGTTCTGCCCCTTTATTAATATGTTCTTTATATCACAGACCCGACCGCTAGTGGCGCTCATACGACCTCTAGCTCTAGTTCTGCACCTTTATTAATGTGTTCTTTATATCACAGGCCCGACCGCTAGTGCCGCTCATACGACCTCTAGTTCTGCTCCTTTATTAATGTGTTCTTTATATGACAGACCTGACCGCTATAGTGCCGCTCATACGACCTCTAGTTCTGCCCCTTTATTAATATGTTCTTTATATGACAGACCCGACCGCTAGTGCCGCTCATACGACCTCTAGCTCTAGTTCTGCACCTTTATTAATGTGTTCTTTATATCACAGACCCGACCGCTAGTGCCGCTCATACGACCTCTAGTTCTGCTCCTTTATTAATGTGTTCTTTATATGACAGACCTGACCTCTCGTTCTGCTCCTATAACCTGTTGTGTATAATTTACTGTAGTATCTTCTAAAAAACTGCGTTCTAACCATTCATTTCATAAAACTTGATAAGATCATGTTTTAAAGTTTTGTTCCCACTTAATTTTTGCTCATTTTAAACATTCAACTACATAAACATTTACATGTAAATCAATTTCAACAACCTAAAAAATAAAGATCAAACAAATATTCTGCTTGGTTGAGTGTTATTATATTGCCATTAAGTTCACATTATAAAATGGTAATGTATCGCATAGATTATGTATGGAGTTTCTAGACTGAACCGATGAACGTTATTTTTATGTACTTAACAAAGATTTTGTTAACAAACTTCTCCATCAACTCAAATTTACACTGGAAGAAAAAAAACTGTGACCTGATAAAAAATAGAATGCTTTACCACAGAACTAGTTTTTAATTAAAAGTTTGTTTTCTTTCACAGATTGGATCAGAAAAAATATATATATATATGCTACAAACCCTGTGATCAGGGGCGGCGATCCCGGGGGACGGGGGGACACGTCCCCCCCCCCCCCTCATTTTTTTTAGGGGGGGGGATCGTCCCTCCCTGAAAAATTGAAAAAGTGAGAAAAAAGTGTATATCAAATACTGACTAAAGACTGCAACAAACTTTTAGGCTCTGGAGGGCCCTAGAGTGCAGCGTTTAGACAAATAAAAATGCAAAAATCTTCTCGCTCCGGAGCTACGCTCTCTCGCATAATATTCTCTAAAGTGTACAGTAAATATTCTAGAAAAGTGAAGTGTGAAAAAGGTATATTGCTTGTTTTTATACTATTCTTTTGCTAATTAAAGTATGTAATTTGTTAATACAACAAAACTTCAAAAACCTGTGAGGGGATAGTCACTTCCGTAACCTCTACCCCTCTCGTTCACTTTGCCTTCTCGCCTTGGCGTAATGATGAGGAGGGGGGGTGGGGGGCAGTTGCCCCCTAATAAAATTCAAACTTGATTTATTTCTAACTCGATACCAGTGATTTACAAATGTTGCTGAAATGGTATGGTTTTTCCCTGAGCTTCTGGGGGCTCTGCCCCCTGGACCCCACCAAGGGTCCTATGGCTGGCCCCTGTTTGCTCATCTGACCGTTATTAAATGCCTAAAACCCCTGAGCTTCATGGGCCTACGCCCCTGGACCCCACCAGGGGCTCTAAGACGAGCCCCTGGATGCTCATCTGACCGTTATTAAATGCCTAAAACCCCTGAGCTTCATGGGCCTACGCCCCTGGACCACACGCCACTTTACGCTCTACTTGTTATATGCTCCATTTGCTCTACCTAATAAAATACTTTAGCCTCCCCCTCTATGAAAAACGTTCCGCGAGGCCTGCATGTACAATGTTAGAGTGGGGATGCGGATTCCCCCCCCCCGTTTTTGTTCAATATATACGCCACTGCTCCCCCGTCTCTTACATTTCGTCCCCCCCCCCCGGTCATGAAAAGAAATCGCCGCCCCTGTCTGTGATACCACATACAGTATTGGATTGTACAAATTTAACTTTTTCAGCAAATGACTTTAGTATCAAACATAATATGCCCAGTCTGACAATATAAAATATCAAGTATCCAATATCAAGTATTTCACAACAATAATAAAAAATAAGTAATCTATTTTCCCTTTATTATGTTAGCTCCCCCCCCCCCCCAAATTCTTATGGCTGGCCATACAAAATATTACAACCCAAAACAAAACAAAACAAAAACCACACAATTATTCACCATCTTGCGTGCAGGGTTGGGTTAAAATATAATTGAGAGCAGAAAGAATGACAGTATCATCTTTCTGACGACGTATTTGGGCTTTTCAATAGCTCATGGTAAAATTAATTTATGAGCTATATATTTCTTAATATATATTTATATTTATATTTATATCTATTTTGTTTTCAGTGATATTTTTTATATATATTTGTCTAAACTCTTAAACCTCAAATTACAACACGTAATTACCAATTTGACTATCATTATTTTTTTTATTTAAAAAAACAACAACTAAGAAATGCATATAAAATATATGAGATACTGAAACACTTACTGATGCATTCATTAGAGCCAATGTGTTGACTACATCGATAATAAGCACGAGTTGAATACTTGTCGGTTGTCAGTCAAAACAAACTTTACAAAGACATGAGGAGTATAACCTTGAAATCACATCAACACATATGTATAATACTCATGCTGGTTTCTATATGGGCAAAAAAGGAATCATCTTTAACAGTGCTCAATGAAACTATGAAGGGTTTCGTTCAATTAAAAAAAAAAAAAAATCATATTTATTTGCTCTGACATATTTCCCTTTGCTTTTTACAACTTCATAGTCAGGCCCTAGTAACTGATTACTTTCACTATGACATGAATTGTTGAAATGAACAGATAACCAATACTATAACTTGTTCATGGATTTGAATATTATATGTTATTCGATGGAAACTTGAATACATACAAACTCATTTTTTGGTTTTGGTTAAGGGCTGAGGTTGACTTTGCCTTTCCAGTGCTACAGCATCAAAAGGAATTCAGGTCGCTGAAGCTCATAGATTTATATCCTGAACATGTCAAATGTACCACTTAAACATATTTTCATAGATGATACAAAAATGTCCCCACATCACTTAATCACATAATACTGGACACTATTTGTGTCCAGTTATTGTTATGCATGCTGAGTAATAAAGGAGCAAACGTAAATATACTGGACCTCAGTAGGGACATCAAAGGATACATAACCATCTGTTTTATTAGAATTTGTATTTTTTCTTTAATTCTAAAAAGAAAAGAAGAAAAAAAGATTCTTGTTGTTGTTAAAAACCTGCATTGTAAGTAATGGTCACTGAACCGATTGATCAATGGCTGCACTAAAATTCATATTAAAATTTCTCTTTTATGATTAAACAAAGTATTTTGGACATCTATCCTCAACATCAAGCTAGGGATGAGCAAAATATAAATCAGCTGTTACATACCGTTCGTGTTCGAGTTTGTATCGCGCGCGCTGTATAATGAATATGCATGAAGTGTGACGTATATTTTGACTTGACCACGCCCCCGACCTCTAGTGCCGCTCTTCGTATGCTATCCTATAGAAAGTCGCCATTTTCATTGCGACGGACAGGAACGAAGCAGTACATCTGCCTAAATTTCTCAATTTTCGTTGAAATTGGTCTGTGTAATCTTCCAAAATGATGCAAGGTTTGACGTGGTCGAGCTTAAAGCACCATAAAGCGGTAATTTAATCTCATGAAATCGTTTTAATATATGTTAAATAGTTGGTCAAAAACCTGTGAGACTGTGTCTGTGAATGTGTGATGCGATGTGTGTTCTAAATCTAAGTTGTATTTGTATGCGATTTGCATGCAGATCGCGAACCTGCCTTTTTGTATCCAAGTGCACTGGCACTGCACTGGCAGTGCAGTGCGTGTAGGTAGCCTTAAAGGCTCCCTTGAAATGTTTTTTATGATATTATTTAAGGGAGCCTTAACCGCCTCCCATACCACTGCACGGAGAGGTAGGTAAACAACATCTCAAATGTGTCCAAAATCACACTTTCCCGCACCCGACCAATATTGGACAGTGGCTTTGATGAATTTTATGTTGGTTGTAATCGTAATTAGTCTAGATCTACATCCTAAATTTAAAAATCGGAGGTAAAAGTAAGGAAATAATAGCCATTTTCTTACCAGACCGATACAGCTCAGCTCCCTTTTCATGTGTACTGTCTGAATTCACGCTCTCTACACAATGGTGATGACCTCTGACTGGCACTTCCGTGATTGTGCTGCTTCCGTATAATGCGCTGTATAAGTGTTATTCAGCGCATTATACGGAAGCAGCAGATCCTCATTAAATTCATGTAAGTAATTAACATTAATCATTCATCTCAGTCGCTAACTTCACGCAAGCGCCCGCACCTTACCGTCCACTGCACATGATGACACAGGCTATTTGGAGTTTGAAAAAATGTATAGAGTCTACATATGCTGCTTGAAAAATATAAATCTGAAGTGACATCATCTCTCTCTCTCTCTCTCTTCTCCCTTTGCCTCTTCAGTTGATTCCTCTGTTCATTGCAACCGGGGAGGAGCAGTATTTGCAGCTTTCTACTTGACTAGGCTGGTAACGAAAAGCCCAGATGCATCGTAAGTTCAGATTGTTTACTTTCTTGTTATGTACATGTATCTCATGCATGCTGCAGGTTAGGAGCGAGTTGCCAAATTATGTGGTTCAGTTTAGTGACATTTTGCAATAAATTTTGGTCCTTTCAACATATAAGTCTCTTTCTTTGATGTTCCTTTCTTTAAAAATTCACTTGCAAGAACGGTTCTAATTTTTCATGCATGATTTTGGTTTTATAGAGCTGAAATGAACTGACCAAAAAAAAATACATTGTTGTATTAACACCTACCGGTAGTCATAATGGGCCGAAATAGTAAAATACAGAGAAATGGGACTAATAGAGTTACCTTGTAACAGCAGTGTTCTTTATAACAATTATCATATCCATCAATAAGATTTATGCTATTTAATAAAATTCCTTTTGCTATTATCTCAATATATACAATTGATTATTTTTATTGCTTTGTAAATCATTTTAATTCCATTCATGTTCTGTATCTCTTTTTCAGATGGAGGAGGAGCACCAACCCACACCCATGGCAGAACATCAAACCAGACCAAAACATAAAGGTAACAGAATCATACAATCTTCTCTTTTCTACTTTCAGACATAGCAAATAAGTCATAGAAAATCTTGAAAGTCTTCTTTTTTTTAAGACGAATTGAAGATTTTTTAAGTTAGAGGTAAAGTTCATTTAAGGTTTAAAGGGCTGAATCAAATATTAACACAGACCACTGCTGAGGTAACTTGGCACGGATTTAAAACTAGGCCTGAGTCCATTACAGGTTTTGCTAAACTTGGGTTCAAGTTGAAAATTTGGTGGGGACTGGGTCTTCAAACCAGGAATTCCCCCACACCAATAATTTATTGTAAATTGTTGAAATAGATACAATCGAAGCTTAAAAGCACCCAGGCTTGTATCTCACTATTGTGCAATTTTGTACATCTGACATGACAACAAAGATGTAGCCACATGTCATTTATTATCTTTAATTAGTCATCATTAACATTTCTGTACAGAAAATTCCAAGTGCTTGATATTGTGTTTTTATTCATCATCAAATGGTTTGTAAAGAATCTCTGAGTATACAAAATGTAATTAATGTACTTAGCATGTTGCAGAAATACATTTATGGATAAATGTGACCTTTTTAATTACCTTCTTTCTTTTCTTCTTTTTTTCTTTCTCTTTTTCTTTCCAGTTCTATTCAGCAGGCAAGATTGACTTCAAGAACCTAAAAAAGAATAGCCCTGACTTATAAGTACCCTGAACTGCTCTCTTCTTTATGTCATTATTTGACACAGAAATTTCTATACATATGAGATACCTAAAATTGTGAATGTACAGTGTGAATTTATTTGTAATGATTACGTAAGACCTCACCTGTTTATATTGAAATAGGACAATGCAGATATGGTCATGTTATATTCTTTGAGTTGCAACAGATTTAAAGTCCTGCCTTTTTGTAGCAGTTACATCAAGCTGTACATTCAGTTTTGGGATGTTTAAGAATAGAACACATTTGTTCAGTAATCTGTTGTTTTTTGGGCTATTTTACAGGATATATTTCTTCTACCAGACTATATTTCATTGTATGAATCATCAGTTGCATATGAAATGAAGTCCCCAAGTTATCACCCTACTGTAATAAGCACTGACATATGCTTTGATAATCAGACATTGTATTCTAAAATCTAAATTGGATACTTTGCATTGATCACTTTGAGTCATCCAATCTCAGAAACCAGAATTAGAAACTACTGCTGATAAATGATTTCACATGTCCTAGAATCAAATTTGGTCAAACAGTCTATCCAGGGAAACTACAGTGTATACCATATAAGTATTGACCCTTGAGCACAAACGTCTGAAAGAGTGGGTACATTACGCACAAAATGTCTGAGCTGAACTTTACAGAGCACAAAATGTTATCCTACTCTCCATGGTAAAAGTATTATCTTTTTCTCAATTTCTTGACGAGGTTTTGAAACATTACAGAGCACAAACCGAAAACCTATGATCTACCTGTACTGTGTATACGTAGAAATTGTTCATCCATTTACTAAACAAGTTGCTCGAACTATAGGGAAAGTCTCATATGGACATATCTTGCATATTAAACTTTGTCCAGAAAGCAATATGCCTTATGTTTGTAAAGCGATGGACAAATTGTTTCAATAAACATTTGTTGTAAACAAGAAGAAAACAGGATTGTCTATTATTATTGGTTGTCAATAACAAAGACCGGACCCTGTTTTGATCCAGGGGGGTGTTTCACAAAGATTCTAAGTTGAACTTATCTCTAAGTTGGACTTAAAAATTATGGAAAGCCGTTAGCATCTTTGAAAATATTTTGTAAAAGTTATTTTAAAAAGGCATGAAATGTTGATTCAAATCATTCATATTTTCTATCATCAAGGAGATTTCCTGTTCTTGATGTGGAATTATAAAAAAGTCTAAAATACTTGAATTTCTGCTTTTGAATATATTTCATTTTAAGGCTCCAATGGCTGTCCATAATTTTTAAGTCCAACTTAGTGTTAAGTTCTACTTAGGATCTTTGTGAAACACCCCCCAGGTCTTCAATTGTTAGATATTTTTCCACGAGACAGGAAATTGTATAAATTATAGGCAACAGAACCTGTGATCGATCATGAGATAACATGTATATATGAATGTGTATGTTGAGAGACTTGCCTGCTACCTGTATATGGAATGAGAGGTCTATTAAGTACAGTTAACTCTGCATAAGTTGAATCTGTTGCTACTTCAAAAAATGAAATAGTTTTAAAAATGTGAATTTCAACTTGGGATGTGTAAATGACATTGCATTATTTGCATAGCTTGGTAAAAAGAGTGAGAAAAAAAGATTTATATACTTGGGTGAAATTCGATGTATGCAGAGTTAACTGTTCTGTTAAGTATGTGTTAGTTCTAGTATAGTTCACATATCAAATTTTCATCTTTTCTTATATTTGCTTACCCTCATTAATGAATTCTGTCATTTCATATTTATTCCAAGAAAGTGCAAGCATACAGTACTTGAACAGTGTCATGTCTCCCAGTCATATATAACTCAACAAAAGAGGGCGCACTGTGAAAACGCGGTAGAGATCCTAGTCAAATATATAGGATCTCTAAAAAACACCATACAAATAATTATGTACTCGTATTCTAATACAGGATCTCTTAAAACACACGGGCATGAGAGAGAGAGAGAGAGAGAGAGAGAGAGAGAGGGGGGGGGGGGGCATGGATAGCTTGTCTTTTTCTCTCTGGTCATTTTTTTCTTCCTTCCTTTCCTCATCCCTTTCTTTCGTATTGCATGTACTTATTTTAAGACGGTCACAATGTAACAAAAGAGTACTACACAAGTTTGATGTTCATTAATTCTCCACACAATGTACAAAATTATAGACAGACCATCAACATTCTCTAGTCAGCTCAATGATAGTGTGACTAAACAACAGACTTCTTAAAATTGTGTTGAAACTTGTGAAGAGGAACTAGGGAGGACAAGAAAATGGGCTAGAGACTGGAGGACATAATTAATGTTTCTTGGTTGAGAGAGACTTTTGAAAGAGGGAGAGAGAGGGGGGGGGGCGGATGTTGGAGGAATGGAGAGAGAGCCTGGAAAGAAGGAGGGACGTAGAGGAGATTTAATGTACATGGATATGCTTTATAAATATTGAGGGAGGGCATAAGAATTATAAGCTATATTATCGAGGTTCTAGTGGGGGGGGGGGGCAAAACGCCCCCCCCTCCAAAAAAAGAAGAAAGAAAAGCAGTAAAGGAGTAAAGATGGTTTGTATATTGAAAAAAGCAAAAGCACATAACAATAATAAAAACCTGAATTAAATCACATATAAAAGTCCATTCAAAGAAAAGGAAATTTAACAGGAATTAAATTTCCTATACATTTCGCCTGCCACCTATATTTATCAATGGAGGTTTTTATAATAGCGATAAGCGCATATCGTGGAAATATTGTGAGAGGATGGAAAAGCGTGTGTGTTTTTTGTTAAAGGGGTGAGAGGACATGAGCCCCTGAACGCTGGCGTTCTGTAGGGGAGGGGGGGGGGCAGGGGCGGATCCAGCCGGCGGCAGGGGAGGGGGCGCAATTCGTGAGAAAATATTTAGCGGCGAAATAGCCGGCCGATAATTCGCATAGTGGGGGTGGGAGGGGGTGGGGGGTAGTGAGCACTAATTTATTTATTTTTTGCTCCCGAAAATTTGAAAATCGTGCCGGCCGAAAATTTGCTCAGGCCCCCCCCCCCCCCCCCCCCCCCTGGATCCACCACTGGTGTCCAACAATTTTTGACAAAATAACTAAAACTTCTATTGTGCAAAATGGATGACTCCGGAGAGTCTTTGCATTTTAGAGTACCTAGATAATATGCTTTCCATAATACTCTCATTACCTTAGCCTGCCTATACACTCTTTCAATTCAATGGACTTGAATTTCTCTGTACATTAACCTGTACAACTATAATTACTTTTACCTCATTTATCTTTTATCTTTTTTTTTTGAAGAGCACCTAAATAGATTGTAAAACAAAGGTGTTTTAAGTATTATTATAATCATGAAGTTGTTATCGTTATGCACATAATCAAGAAACTAAGGTTACCTGTTTACGATTCAATTCCATATGGTGTTTAATTATTATGATAATCACAAAGGTATGATTGTCATGCACAATGTTATAATCAAGAACCTAATTAGGTTACCTGTTTACGATTCATTTCCATATGGTGTTTTAATTATTATGATAATCAGAAAGGTTTGATTATTTGTGACACTGGTAGGACACTGATTAGCATGAGGTCCAGCGGGCGGAGCCCCCAGAAGCTCAAGGGTTTTAGGCACTAAATTACGGTCAGATGAGTATCAGGGGGCCCGCCTTAGGGCTGTTGGGGGCAGAGCCCCCAGAAGCTCAGGGGTTTTAGGCGTTTATTTACGGTCAGATGAGCATTTTTTGATACCTTATTTTGTTGTGACACTGGCAGTTAACCATTTTTTCTTTCTTGCTCTTTTTCTTTCCATTTCTCTTTAATATACTTTGTCAAAAAGTGAGTGGGGGGGGGGGGAGGGAGCTGGAAGCTCCCGATCCCCGCCGTTCCGCGGATCCAGGATGCAGGCGCGGATCCAGGGTTTCTTAGGGAGGGGGCCTAACTTTTTTTTTTTTGCTCCCGAAAATGTGAAAATCGTGCCGGCCGAAAAGTTGCTCAGTGTGTGTGTGTGTGTGTGTGTGTGTGTGTGTGTGTGTGTGGGGGGGGGTAGTGAGCACTATTTTTATTTGGTCCTCGAAAATTTGCCCCCCCCCCCCCCCCCCCCCCCCCCCCCCCCCCACTGGATCCGCCACTGCATGTAGGCACCTCAAGAAGCATATTTCTTGCCTGGCTGTAAATTTAGGAATTTGTCATTTTACAACAAACGCATACAAAATATGTATAGTTTACTAAAAAATGAGGAAAAATCTCGGAAAATTATGTCATTTCAGCATTATGTGTAACCACCGTGACGGTTATGGAATCAGAAATAAACCCCCTCTCCGATCAAGACGCCAGTGCCCCGCCCCTCCCCCCCTGATTTACACTTTGTTGGCGGAAAAAAAAATCGCAACTGATCTCCCTTACCTTTCTTCTTTTTCTTTTTTTTTCTTTCCCTTTCTCTCCGCATTTTTTTTTTTTTTGCCCCGGAAATTGGAAAAATTACGCCGTCAGATATTTTGTTCAGTGGCTTGGGGGGGGGGGGGGGGGGAAGGAACACTTTTTTTTCCTTCTTTTTTTTCCCCAAGGGGGGGGGGGGTATTTCCTTTTCGATACCAGTAATTTACAAATGTTGCTGAAATGAAAATGATTTTCCGGTATTTTTTCTCAATTTAGTAAGTCATATACCTTTTTATGCGTTTGTTGGAAAATTAGAAATTCCCAAATTTACAGTCGGGCGAAAAATATGCTTTTTTAGAAGCCTTCATGTTAGGGCCTGCAGAACGGCTAGGTTCGGGGCTCGAGCCCCCTCACTTTTCGAAAAAAGTATGTTACAGAGAAAAAGAAAGAAAGAGAGAGAAAAAATAAGTGACCTGCCAATATCACAAATGAGGTATCAAAATATGCTCATCTGACCGTAATTAAATGCCTAAAACCCCAGAACTTACGGGGCTCCGCCCCGGACCCCACCAAGGGCCCTAAGGCGGTCCCTTGGATGCTCATCTGACCGTAATTAAATACCTTAACAAAAACGAGCTTCCGGGGGCTCTGCCCCCTTGACCCCACCAAGGGCCCTGAGGCGGGCCTCTGCATGGATGCTCATCTGACCGTAATACCTAAAGCCCTTGAGCTTCCGGGGGCTCTGCCCCCTGGATGCTCATCTGACCAAAGTTACATATCTTAAACCTCTGAGATTCAGGGGGCTCTGCCCCCTGGACCACATGCCTTAAAGAGGGCCCCTGGATGCTCATCTAACCTTAATTAAATACCTAAAACCCCTGAGCTTCCGGGGGCTCTGCCCCCTGGACTCCCCGCCAATTAGTGGCCTGCCAGTGTCACAAATAAGGTATCTAAATATGCTTATCTGACCTTAATTTAATGCCTAAACACCCTGATCTTCCGGGGGGGGGGGGCTCAGCCCCGTGACCCACTGCCGGGGCTCAGGCCTGGACCCCACGCCAATTTACGCTTTACCTGATCGTTAATACTCCATTTTTAAAAACGTTCCGCGGGGCCTGTATGTAACGTGTAAGAGAGGTGGTGATGCTGATTTTTCTTCTGCCCCCCCCCCCTTTTGCTCATAACGCCACTGCCCCTGGAAGGTGAGTTCCCTGGAATGTTTGCCCCCCCCCCCACCCCCCATCCCGAACTGCTGCCGGCGCGCCAGTAAAAGGGTATATGCCTTTTGTGTGTACAAAGAGGGAGACGAAGTGGGGGACGGCTAAATAAATAACCAAATCCTTCCAATGGCGCACTTTTCACTAAAATTTGCCAAATTCAAACTGTTATCAAAACTGCTCCTACATTAAAACTAAAAACTAAATGCATTAACAAAATGTAGGCCTAAAGAAAAAATGAGTGACGATTTTCTTTAACAATGTTTATTATCAAAATGATTTTACATCATGATTGCAAGATCGAATAAAGACAATTTTTTTTTAATTTTTAACGTTTTCCTCCCAGCCAAAAAATAGGTTCTCTAGCAACACCTCTGATAGGGCGATACGGGTCTGCTCCTCCCTTTTCAGCCTTTTTTGGGGGCCGGGGTAGAAAAAAATCCGCATCATAAAGTAAAATTTACACAAAAAGTGAGGAAAAAACCGGAAAATCATGCTTTTTCAGCACCAATTGTAATTCAATGGTATCGAATTAGAATTAAACCACGTTTGAATTTTATGTAGGGGGGGGGGGGAGGCAACTGCCCCTCGTTCCCGCCCATACCCTATCAATACGCCAATGCCCTTTCTTTCATAGAACTGTTCATAGCTCAGGCTGCATGCTAGCAGCTGGTATACAACATGACTTGTCTGGAAAGTGGTCAACGCGCTTAGGCCCTGGCTATCACAACAAGCCTGAAAACAAAATGGAGAGAGGGCAAGATATTATGAGAAGGGAAAGCTAAGGGGCGGGGTGGATCATGAATCTCTGACTTTGGGAGGAAAAAAGGAAGAGGATATCCGGGGAGAAGTCTCCCCTAATTAAGCATTGAAGGGAATGTTGAAATAAAGAAGCCCGGAGACGGTGGACTCGGGAAGTGATAGAGTGGGTGGGGAGGTGATAGATGGATGCATGGGGGAGAGATGGATTGAATTTTGCTCTCTTCAAGTAATGCATGCATGCGTAGACGGCGAAAAAGTCTGTTTATTTCGTTCGGGAATATTTGTTCTTTTTGTCCTCTTACCGAGGTGTTTTATTTCACATATTTCACATTTCATATACATCAATTTACATTTTAACATAATAAAAAAAGACAAAAGTAATTAAATAAATAGTTTAATAACCTTAACATATCAATAAAAAACGTTGTTTATTTGCTATGTAATATCGTAGTTTTAATTTGAAATTAATGAACAGACTTTCGCTCGGGAATATGTTCCACTGAGACTGCGTCTGGCTGCACCGAAGGAAATAAATTGTCAAAAGATTGACCAAAAGATTGTCAAAAGGTGTTTTTTTAAACTCATCCAATCATGATAGATTTTATCTGGCTGTTGACACTTGTAAGTCGTACATGTAGGAGTATAGGGACGCCAAAACAAAAACAAAACAAAAAACCTCATTTCTGCATCCTCCTGGTAGAGCAACATCATCGCTGGGGGAAGATGGGGGCGGGTATACACTGTTATAAAATGGCTCTAGTATTTTAAGCATCGTGATTGGTCAATACGCGTCACATGACATTGAAAAAATTTTGATGCAAGCACGATTTTGCAGAAATGAGTGCAGAAAAAGCGCAGTAAAAAGTTATATTGCACGGTGCGTACGCGTGACCATGGAGATCCAGTGCGCGCGCGTACGTGTAGTACGCGCTCCCTCGAGTTGCATTGCAATTATTGTAGGCTACGCGTAGCTAATATTGTACGCTCCACCATGATCCCCAGCGCAACGTACGCGTAGCTAGCTAGAGCGGCCAGCGGGGTATTATTAAAAAGCAAATTTTTATTTTACTTTTGCCTTGGATTTAGGCCTGTTTTGACTTTTGGATTTTATAATGAAGCCAGGAATTTCAGCTGTCTGATGTAGACTCGTCTCTAGACCCACTGTATGGATTTTATTTTTAATCAAGGCAATGAATCCCATTGACTTTTTGGTAAGCCTGCAAGGTCTTAGTCTAATTAGAAGTAGAACCAACATAACTCTAGATCTAGATCGAACTCTCGTAGACTCTAACTTATTAGATCTAAAGTTTCGTTTTTGCTATTTGTGTCGCTATTTTATAAAACAAATAACGCACTTGACCCTGTTGTGCAAAACGTAAATGCAGTAAACGCTCGGTTTCTTCAGATGGTTCGCACTGTCAACTCGCCGCAAGCGGCTCGTTGCACAGAGCGGCACCAATCTAAAGAAACCTCGCGCGTACTGCATTCACCGCTATTGCACTCTGGGACGTGCGTTATTTGTATAATATAGAGGTAAAATCCAACGTGCTGTCACATGTACAAAGTATCGTAAACAAACCGCCCCATTATCTTTACTGCGATAAGCGAGGTGGTACATGTTCGCACGGTACGTACGGTACGCCGGTGAAATATTATTCTGACCGTGCGCAAAAACCTAGGTCTAAACATATGTTCTTATTGAGTCAGATCCAGAATATGCTCCATTTCTGCAGAGACGATTGTGATAAGATGAGTAAGATAAATTGAAACAATTTTTCTACCATCACGAGCAATAAAACCAATTCAAATTGAAACCTTAAAAAATGGAAGGATCTACGCCTGTGGCACTCGTTGACTTTGCAGCCGACGATCAGATGCCGCAACTTCTACAGGATTACTATGCACACGACACGAAAAACGATTCTTTCTCTAATTCTCGCCTAGTATTGCAAGACGAAGAAAATATGCAATTTGACGGCCAAAAGCGACGTGTTGCAAGATTATCAGCAGGCACTGATAATCAACATTATGATCCGATTGATGTAGCAACAGTTATTACGGTTGTTGGACCGGGTAGCATTCAGAATGGAGTCGAAAGAGTTGCGGAAAGCAGTGATGACGACCCGATCGAAATTGGTACGGGAAATGGTTCTGGTGTCCCCACTGGTCTGGGCAGAGATGAGGACAGCTATCTGTACGAACACTGCCACGCACCTATGCCTGACACATCTAACAAAAGGGCACAAAGGCAGTTGATGATTGCTTGTTTTGTCAGTGTCCTGTTCATGATAGCAGAAGTGGTTGGTAAGGATTTTGGATATATGAAACGGTTTAATAATCTAACTGTTACTTCTTCCTTTCTTTTTTCTTGTATAAGGATGTCCCTGCGGGTGAGGTTTCTTTTGCTTCTGCGCTGCTTAAGGCGGCTGCGTCTGTCTCTTCGGAACATGCCTCCCTTGGTTCAGTCTGTGCTGGTCTAGCATAAATAGGTAGGTACATTGATTTATTGTTATAAATTAGTAAAATCAGTATTGATTTTCTTATTTGTTAAATAAATCTATGTACCTACCTATTGCCCTCCCTCCATCCCCTCTCCTTGCAACATGTTCCGTATTTCTTTCGGGGTTGCTCGGTTTTCAGAGGAAGTATTCTATAGAGTTGGGCAGGACAATGGGAAGACGGGGGGTTACACACCTAGTGACTTTTGGGGTTTAAAATTCTCGTGATGGCTGGTTGCTTCACAAAAGTACAGCTGCCACCACAGCTCTATTTTTGTTACCGATAGGCGTTTTGTTTTAAACAGAAACTTATGCATCAAATTCGTCATTTATAATTATAGTAATTTTTTTTTTTTCAAAAAGTGATTGATTTTTTATTTTTCATTTTTCAAAAAAGGAGGCAAGGGCATTACTATTGACTGTTTTTCAAATTTTTGCTATTTTTTCCAAGATGGGCACCATGCTAAAAATCTGTATATCTGTAAAGCGCTAAGAGACATCATAGATGTATTAAGCGCTATATAAAAGCAGAATTATTATTATTATTAAAAAACATACATAGCTGGTCAAGGTATATTTATTCACAGATATTGTGCTATTTGATAATTTGAGTATACTGATGCAATGTATGACAAAACAAAGGATTTGTTCCATTTTGGCCCACTCGCAAAGCAAGTTTCAGAACTCAGAAACAGTGAAAAATGTGCATGTTCTATGATGTACAGTGTGTATGTGTTCAGCTTGAATTAGCTATACCGGTAGATGCTATTTATACAAACTGTACAACAGCCTTTGGGGGGGGGGTGCTTTTTTCTGAATGGTAAATAGTATAGTATTAATGACTGCTACGCCGAGGGCAATAGCCCCATTGTAACCTTCCCGAGAGCGTATAAAAACAACTATTTCTTGAATATTAAAGCAGTCATTAATACTTTTATATACCAAGAAAAAAGAGTCAACTTATGACACCACCTTGGCCTTTCTCTAGTTTATCTGCACGGTTGTTTTTTATGAGTGTATCTTTGAGAGTAGACTAGATCTAGATTCTAGTCTAACTCTAAGCAAGATATTTTTACAATTTTGGCCGGCCCTGTGGGGAATATGGAGAAAAACCTGCGCTTTTATATGACACCTCACTTATTGAGTATCACCTTAAGGATCACGAGCAATATTAGTTTGGCAATTAAAACATCGACCAATTTTAGCATGAGTGCGATGCACAATGGCCTTTGCATAGGGATGTGTGCAATCTCTACGGGAAGGATTTTAGCACTACTAGAGTCTAGACTCCTGATCTACTTACTAGAATCTAGGCCTACTAGATCTATTTTGAAAAAAAATTATGGAGAATTTAACGTACCCTTTTTGGTGCTCTTACTGTTGGCAAGTCTTGCATTTGATCATCATCAAGAAGTTGAAATCTTGGGAGAGTTTCTTCAGCCATTTTTGCCTTCGGTTTGGATATTGAAATTACTGACCAATGCTTCGCACACGTACATGTATGGTATCCTCGATCGCTCAAACCAGTTTTTAACATGTGAACCTATGGGTATTTCACCAAGACTGAACTATTTTCCCGGTAACCATGGTAACTGGAATTTTGCCGGGATTTTAGAACTATTATTTTAGAACTATTACATGGGTTTGGAATTTTACCGGGAATTTTACAGGAATAGTTAAAGTTTATGAATGCAATTTCGACCAATCCGATGACTGGATTTCTTAAGTGAGGTATAATACAAAATAAAGGAGGCAGATGGGGACGAAAAACTCATTATTATTGTTATTTGGCTTTACATGAAGACCGGCTAGAAATTTAGTTACAAAGGGTTCAAAAAGTGTCCAAACCTGTAGCAATGACCTTCCATATTACAGTGTACATGTAAGTCTGTGGAAATGTTATCTTTAAGGACTTTCTTTTTAATTCTACCAAATTGACCATTTACATGTTCAGTGTATCAAACTTTAAATGATATAAAAGAAGCTACATGTACTGTTACTTGTATGGAGGTGAAGGATATAGTGTAATGAATGAAATATACATATAGATATTTGCTAACTACAGGGTAGTACATCGACTTAAGAAAGTTTGTGATTTGGAGTTTTAAAGAAAATGTAAGCCAATAAAATGTACAGACTGTACACATGAATTAATTTCACAAATACTACTGTCATACAGAAATAGTGACATACATTGTACATGTACATGAAGTTACATGTGTACAAATTGCAACAAATGCGACAAGCATATTTAACATGAATTGTATTGTAGTCTAAAGTGTATTCTGTACAGCTGTATACATTGTACACTGTACATGTACTGTAGTGCACATGTCATGTGAATTGTACTACCGGTAATCAAACATGTAGATTAGTTATCTGACTTCCTACTGTACATACCGGTACTACATGTAGTTAAGTGTGTACTTCAATGCTGATCCACTTATCAGTGGTATGAATGAAAACACAAAAAACTCTGTAAAATTAATTCATGTGTACAGTCCGTACATTTTATTGAAATACCTACATTTCATGTCATATGTTGTGTCTCTACCCCCAGTACAATTATGTGCTTGTGTAGCTCCTATCATCTACATGTACAGGGTACATGTTTATTAAAAACTTTTCGTTCAATAATCAGACATTTCCGCTTTCCCCTTGGTGCAAATGCTGTTCTGGTCTTGGTTTTGGTTCTGAACTGATCATAAATCTATGCAGAGATGAAATGCTAATAAAATGAAAGAATTGAAAAGAATACAGGATATGAAAGACCAATTGCTCACTAATTCATGGTGATTTATCCAAGTCATCTTGGATAATGAAAGAATGAAATACTGAAGGAAAACTAATTTACCCCTTGTATCATTACGCTCAGATCTCATATTAAAAAAGTCATTTACACATTACAGATCATTAACAGTGTGTATTGATTTATTTTATTATTGTATTGACTTTATAAAGGGGAAGTCCATCCTGATATTAAGTTGGTTTTGATAAAAGCAGAAAAATAAGAGATACAAATTTAGTGAAAGTTTGAGCAATATCCGATTAAAAGTAGGACATAAATATGAACTTTTAAAGTTCTCATTGATCAGTGGACCAAAAAGTAGCAACATTGACGTATCTTGCGAGCTCCTCTCCAACTTCCTCTGTATAGAAAATTTCATAAACTTTCATTTTCTTTGCTATTGGTGAAGGAATAGATTTATGTCATAACGGCATTGTATAAAAACATAGTTTGCAGTAATTATATTTAGGGTAAATATTTGATTTTAAATTTTTTTAATGAAAAAATACATTTTTAGTACAGGATAAATGCAAGGGGACCTTGCAAGATACACTAAGTCAATTCTTGTCAATTTGTGTTTGATCGATTGCACAGTTACAAAAATTCATAACTTTCTCATTTTTATTCCGTTTTTGCTCAAATTTTCACTGATCTTTTTCTTTTCTTTTACTGGCCCTATTAAAACCACCTCAATATCAGGGTTAACTTCCCCTTTAAGGTCATCCATTGTAGGGCTATGATATGACAATCAAAACGTCCACTTCTAATATTTGCATACAAAGGCAGTTTCACAACCAAGAAAGTCCAAGATCATGGTAATACTGTACATGTAATTTAGAAACTGTAGTCCTCCAGAATTTGTATGGATTCCTGTTGAAAGTAGGGCTCCCTATTATAATGGAGTGGCAGCCTTTATTCAGGTACCTTGAGTGAAGTTGAGTCAGATCAATGCATGAAACCATGGAGCTCCAAATGTGGTGAAAATGTGCTTTCAATTCTAAATCAAGTCTGGTTACCCTAGAAACTGCATTTAATAACAAATCCATCCTTAGTGCTGTTTAGGGTATTTCATTTCATTTCGTTTATTTCCATTTCCAACAAAATAAATAAAGTACATGGGATTGCATTGTACAGTAAAACAATGAAAATTAACAATATATTTGTAATTGGTCCACAGTGTACAACAGGCATATAAAACAGGTTGGTCATGGAGGGGACTGCTAAAAAGCTGGGCTTGTAGATTGCAGCCCCCTATAACTTATAGTTGCAAGGGGGCTGCAATCTACAAGCCCAGCTTTTCAGCAGTCCCCTCCATGACCAAGTTGTATAAGTGGGGACCCCTCCCCGCTCTATCTCGGCCAGAGAATCTTGCACTATTGATTTGGTCAGTTTTCATTCAAATGTATAGGTCTCTTATTCATTGTATCTTAAATCAGCGGAACTATATTTAGCATTGTTTTTTAAACAAAGGTTGACCTTTGTATTGGCGAATATCCTTTAAGGACAATGACAGAGGATCATTGAATAGACAGGATTAGAGATACCAATCAGTATTGTTGATTTCTTTATAATGAAATCATTTATCTTTGAACCAAAACACTGTACAGTGTTTGTCTCCGACTGTATGACAGTGTTGTTAATACATTCAAACAATTTTCATTTGGGTACTTTGTAACAATTCTAGTAATTCTAAAGTATCATTATGGGCAGCAACTTGAGCAAGATAAAGAGTTATGAAAATCATAGAAGTAATAATGTCTTTCCATTGACACCTACAATCAAAAGGATTTTCTCAAAAAATCATGTACATGTAAATAATGCATGTCAAAAATACTAAAAATGAATTCACTCTTTCAAATAATTTTCAGAGTGCTTAAGATATCACAGGTATACTGTATCAGTGTACGTTTTCATGCATATTTTGACAAATTCATAATACATGCAGTTTCCTGGAAATGCTAGAGCGCCGTATGGCAGCCGTGCTAAAGCCACGTAATAATCGGGGGTGCCAGGAGGGTCAAACCTGACTGATAAGAGCGCTATACAAGAACCCACTATTATTATTATTATTATTATCAAGTTGAGAACAACAAAATATTGTCCATACAAATGTGGAGCTCTGTTGTACATGTACATGTATGTATATATCTGCACATTTTGCAGTGTACATACATACTGTGGGTGTTTTACATGTATATCCAGGCACGCAGATGGGGGGGGGGGGCATATGCAATGTCATGCAAAGTAAACCCAATAAACTTTTAATCATCTGTACCCGCCTACCCGGTAATGTCTTCCTTTGACGTGTACTAAAATTTTATACACTGTATATTTTGTACTTTTGCATATATTTTGTACAAGTGTAGCTACTATAGCCTGCTGTTTCTAGGCTTTTGCAAGTTTCATGCATTAGGTTTGATACATGTAATTTTTTGTTTTGTTTAATATGTAAGTGTTTATCAGTCTACTTTGTTTGTTTATCGCTTAGAGACTTCTATTAACTTGCTGTGGAAGGGTAATTTTGTTACTTTTTTTAAAACTCTTGAAATATTGATATACATGATAATTCTTCCAGTATGATTTTCAAGCTTTTTCAGATTTAATGCATCAGATGCAACCATTTTTTATTTCCTTTTGACATTTTAGTGAGTAGTGAGTACCATGAATTTCTTAATGCTCCTTCACTGTTCATGTAAGGTATTTAAATGTACACAAATCTAAATCATCTAATATCAAAACAATTGCTCATATGGGCCCAGTCTTATAAAGAGTTGAAATTAATCACAAAATGTACAAATGAATGTACTGCTCCTCAGCACATAATTATTCAAAGTTCAGGTTTTGTCCCTCACTCTTTATTTGTGAATAAATAGTCTTCACTTATTACATTTTTTAACTGTACACACGCCTCAGTTTCGTCCGCAAAAAGGGGAGGTGGCCTTCGTACAAACAAATACCTTATCCAAATAGAAATCTTTTTCCATAAATTTACCACTATTCCTCACTTTGTGTACAAAAATAACATTTTTAGTGTATTGCCCCAATTCTATAACCCTAAGGGGAGGGGGGGGGGGGAAGGATTTCATTTGCACATTGCATGAAAGCAGGTGACTGCTGGAAATGTGCGAGGGTCTAATCTTTTGCACCCTCGCAATCTTTTGCACCCCTGCTTGCTCGATTCTCAAAGTCATAAAATCACGATCAAGTCAATTTGAGTCAAGTTGAGTGCCTATTTACGCCATAAATTATTTAATCAATCAAAATGGCATGAATAGATCGCTCCTTCAGACCGATTATGTACCCTATGATCAATATGCGAAAGAGATTATCTACTTCTTACTTGTCAAACATAAACACCAATATCTATGACTGAGTAGATAAGTCATTGCGTAAACTTATTGCTCAATACCCTTGGTCATAGTCCATTGGTTTTGCACACAGTCTGCCAAATTTTGTGTTCAATTTAGGCATGATGAAGTCGCCAGTGCAAACCGCGCGAGAAACCCTGAGTGCAGTATGAATAGAGGGCCTCTGCTATAACGGCTGAATGTAAAGTTACTGTAACATGAACATGTAGTTAGGGGATAAAATTTAAAACTGGATGTACATTTACAGTTCAGTTTTCCATTGGCCTGCTGTCTATATTAGTATTGTTCCGTTTTAATGTACAAAGTACAAGTACATGTATGTAAATGGGGGAACAACAGTTGCCCTTGGCTAATATCTATGTACTGAAGACATGGTACACATACATATGTGTGCCCCCTCCCCCTTCCCCCCCCCCCCCCCCCATCCCCCAACCCCCCATCCCCCAACCCCCCATCCCCCAACCCCCCATCCCCCCAACCCACACCTCACCCACACACATTACATTACTGAGATAGGCCCATGCACCGTACATTGTGTTGTTTATCAGGACTTGTTGGTTATCTGTACAGTTGATATCAAACAATATTTTATCAATGTTTTAATAATTATATTGGACAGTTTTTATAAATAACAAATATTTATGATGATTAGTGTCATTTGATGAATAGTTTTGGTAAATCAAAATCCAAATGCAAATGAGACGTATTGTATTTTAGATGAGCACCTGGATTACACAAGCCCCATCCACTGCTCGCTATTCTTAATAATCATAATAAAGTATAAAGACACTTTATGGTCGCCGGTGATTGACAGTATCTTCTTGCAGGAAGCATGGGCAGTACATGAACTCGTATAGGAAGGAGGCTCTCTCAGACAGGAAGCCTATTGTTTTGTGATCTCCAATAGTCCAGACCTCTAGATATTGTCCAAAAGGAGTCAGAAAAACATTGGTCTTTACAACAGCTTAATTGTTCTCGTTCTTAATTCTCCTTAAATGATGATATTATATCCTATCGCTGTAATTATAACCTGCGTATGTACTTGAAAATACAGACAACAATTAATCCATTATTAGGTATAAAAACAGGACCAATCTAAATATCTATTGTCTATCTGTCAGAAAGTTTCACTGACCCTTTTTCTGAACTTTCACAAGGCGATGATCCTTTGTTTTGACAAGTGCAGTATGTGCAAGATGACTTTGGGATATTTTGAGAGTACAGTGTATATACATCCAGAATGAACGTGACAGATGTCAGAAGTATGGAACATGTACATGTGCAATGTTTGGGACATTGGACCCTGTACATGAAGGGATGTCAGAACAAAGTTATTATATACATGTACATGTACATCATACATCATGTAGTGCTCCAAGAGAGAAGACATTTAGGAGAAAAACAAAATTCAATGATATTTATGTACACAACAAACGGAAGAGTTATCCACCACTGCACTATGTCACAATCCACTGACCAAATTGCAATTTTGAGATTCGCATAGAATTAGTGATTTCATATTCAGACATTCATAACCATCTTATGATTGGTCTGATTTAGTGCTGTAGTCAAACGTTTAACCGTCCGGTATCCGACCGCCCATGGCGGATTCCGTTTTCAATTGGACGGTTTCGTTTTCCTGTTTTTTTTTTTTAAAGTTTCGATTTATGCCCCTCCACCTGGCACTATGCCTGGCAATGTCTCCCCGCTTAGTAATCGGTGTGATGACAGGGAATAATTTTCCTGGTATCGCATCGCAATTTGCTATGCATTTTTGCATGACTGCTATACAAAATATCTTTTGTGTAGCAGTTTTCTTCCATAGAAATGTACAGAATTTCATTTGAAATATTTATCCATCGGCTGAAATTGCTAATCAAAAAATTTGAGGAAAATTATTCCCTGGATGACTTACCACTTGGAAACTAGAACGACACTCCAATTTGTCTGTCATCTTGGATTGAAAGTAATCTTTGTAATAGATCTCAATATATATTCATCCAAGTTTAACACATGGTGTACCACAAGGTTCTATCCTAGGTCCTCTACTGTTTTTAATTTACATTAATGATCTTACACATTATTCTAAAAACGACATTGTTACTATTATTTGTGAAGCACAAATCGGCGCCTTCAATTAAATCACCTCGCAGTCCTTCCCGCTTTTTCACACGGCCAAAAAAAAAAAAAAAAAAAGATTTTTTTTTTCCTTTTTTTTTTCAATATTTTTTTTTATAAATCGTTTAACCGAAAACCGTCCGGTTTTGACTGGCGGTTAAACGGAATTGAAGATATCCGTGATGTTACAGCACTAGTCTGATTTTTTTTCAAACTTTCGCCATTCTATACAGTACATGTATATCTTTTTTTCTGCTTTCATGTACAGTGTACATGTACAATAAATTTATTCCAAGGTTTGGAGTGCCCTTAAAAGACAGTCCTAGTTTGCATGTGTGAGTGGACCTCCCCCCCCCCACCACCCCTGTTCCAGTGCCCCAATGGCTAGACCCCTTGTTTGCCTGTGCGTCAGTACAGTACATGTATATAATGTGCACCCTCTTTATCTATCTCTCTACACAAAGGGGGTTCTCTTGCCAACAGTTTGGCTATCATGACTGATGCCGCCCATCTTCTAAGTGACTTTGCAAGTTTCCTAATTAGCATCTTTGCTCTTTGGGTTTCTAGGAGGCCAGCTACAACCAGGATGTCATTTGGCTACCACAGAGCAGGTATGTTTGCTTTAAAGCCCCACTGCACTACTTTTTGCAGGGAGATTAAACCTCCCTGCATGGTCACTGACAGGTGGTTATCTCATCAAATCAGCTCTCAATAACATAAGAAAAAGTGGACCATGGGGGACCAATGGTCACTGATTAGGCATATTGTTTGCTATATAGAGGGCGCAAGTAGCTATAAGAAGTGCAGTGGGGCTTTAATTGCAATTTCAGTTTTAAATACACTGATCATTTGCAAATTCTCTCATCCCCATAGGGCTTAAAGGGAGTGGGTAGTCAGTTTCCATGTGCAGAAGGTCGTAATTTGCTGACACCAGACTTGGTGGATATACCATTAATGGGAGTACAAATCTGCACACAGCAAACCCGGTGGCCAGTCAAGAATTACCCCCTAGTCTCTCGGAGCATGCTCGAGATTTCTCGGGCGAAGGAAAAGCAAAGCATTACATAAGGTATAATGGTCATAAAACTCAAGGCTAACCCTGATGATTGACAACACCTGTTATTGGGTAAACACCCGAACAGGTGTCGCATTCCCCATGAGAGCTGACTTCTATGTGACTTTAAGGGGTCTCTCTGTTCCTGCAGGCTATTGGTTTAAATGATAAAGGAAATTGTAATTTATAGACACTTACAGCGTGTCCACACACAAAACAATTTATCGCGAAACTCTATAACGAAACGTCGTATAAAGAATCATAGTCTAAATTTCAAAGTGTCCACACACAAGAAACGTCATATAAATAATCATCGTATAAATTCAAGGATGTCCATAAACAGAAGAAAGTAATCCTGAAACTCTACAGTCTGGTCTCTTTTCGCTCGAGGTCACGTTAAGCCCCGCCCAGTTAGTTACACTAGTTACACTCCCCCAGGGGGTCCCCCTGTCCACACACAACATTTCCGTGATTAGGCGTGATTCTTTATTGAGTTTCAGTTCGAAACGATGCCCAAACCTGCGTTTCGTTAGACTAGTTTCGTTATACGACGTATAGTTATAGTGAGCGTGCACACCTACAATTTTCATCGTAAAACTATCGCGAAACGGTATCACTATCGCGAAACGGTATAGCTAATCATGACTAGTCATGGAAAATGTTGTGTGTGGACAGGGGGTTACTGTTCTTTTACATTGTAGGGAATATCTTAGATCTCTAGATTATTTTGATAAAATTTAGTAATTCAAAATACACTTGATAATTACATCTTCACTTTATTTTCATTCAAATTTAGATATGTTCGGGCATTAAAGCACCTACAATATGTAATTAAACATAAAATGATCCAAAATGAATTTAATGACAGTTCTTGAGAAAATTTTGAAACTGCTATCACACTTCATCTATTAAGTAACCTTTAGGTGGCCGAAGTGTACATGTATAGAAAAGCAAACCATGTATTATATATTCTCCTCTTAATTTTCCTTGTTCTGTCTGTATCACTCTAGAGGTCCTTGGAGCTGTCATAAGTGTGCTAATCATCTGGATTGTGACTGCTATTCTGTGTTATCTGGCTGTCATGAGGATCATCAATGATGATTATACAATAGAACCTAATATAATGCTTATTACCGCTGGAGTAGGAGTGGGCATCAATATTATGTGAGTGCAGTAGAGGAATAATGATATTGATAATAATATTGATGAATAATATTGATTAATAATAATAAAGATAATGATACCTTGGGATGCTCAAAGTACCTACATGTACAAACACTGAACTTTGAACCTTGATAACATAGTCCCTTTAGGAAGCAGCTTTTTCAAGTGAAACTGGGATGGGATGTCATGTGTTGTGACAGCAGGTCATAGTGCAGACAACAACAAAACTGTGTAATATTTATAGTTATAATGAAAACAGTGATAGTTTACAGCATTCTGGAACCTACAGGAAGTTCCAAACCTGTATATAATGACTGATCAATGGAGACTTACAATGCGGTCTTCATGGGCAGGTGGTCTTTCTATACAGTTGATTGCGAAAGCATATACACCTGCATCATTGTGCTAATAGTAGCTGGATTTGCTTTAGTCACAGTAATGCTAAAATGCTATCAGCATTATGGTATTAGACATATGATATATTGTATCTTTAGTGGGACTTGATTTACCCCAAAATCTTGAAAGGATATTGTAAATCTCATGATTATTGTTGATTTATCAATGTATGAGAAGGAGACATAAAGTTAGTTGAAATGGATTTACATGTCTCGAATGTACCCATACTGTTCAGAAAGACAAATCATCTAAACTAAAAATACTTCCAAAAATATTAGACTTTGTGAGAAAATGATCATAAGAACCAATCGCATAACAGGGGAAATAGCAAGATAGCAAGTGGTACTTGTAGAAATATGCATATGTTGTAAAAAAAAAGAGAGCAAAGTTAAGACTTCATATCCACATGTGCCAGCATATTTTCATTTGTTCTACAGAATGATTGATTGGTTTGGGTAATACATAAAATTTAAGTAGATGTGTGGAAGACTATTTTTGTGGGTAGACCAGGGAGGTGAAAGAAAGGAGGTGAAACTCTTGTAATTTATTCTAACGCATTCGTGAGTTCTAAAGCGTAACAATGGGATGTGTAACATTCAACTTGGCTTTGAAGTTCCATGCTCCGAACCGTACTTCCACTGCGGGGACTTTCGGTTCCAGGTACCAGTTTTTACATTTATTACAAAATATTAAATTACTGGCAAAATTTCAGTGTAAATCAAAAACTTTATACGGGGATAGTATTGGGAATAGTGCATCAAACAAATTTCCAAATTTAGAACTCCGTCCTTCCTATAATTTGTGTGCCAGAGTTGGTAAAAGAAAAATTACATCCTGACAAAAACTCAATAGTTTAGGATAATGCGCTAATTTGTGCATGTTTTAATGTCCCGTTATTTGATCCATGATTTACAATCTTCAATAACATTAAGTTTGCTAATGCGTGTTTTGTGTGTTTTTTGTATTTTTGAAGTTAAAAAAGGGATGCAATGACATAAGTTTGTGTTCGCTTGTTCTACTCTTTACACATTCAACAACGGATGAGAAATCATTGAAAAGGACAGCGAACAGTTGCTGTGATACCATTTTCTGATGTAGGAATTCTAAGTCCTGAAATTCATGCGCTCTTTTATCTCACCACCTGGTCAACGGTTGCAAATTAGCGCATAACTTTTCGGCGGCTTGGAGCAGGGGTAAAGGTGAGCGGCTTGATTCCAGTCCTTCTCTATCACGTCCCTGGGTAGATGATACAATTGTATCAAGTCTAGCCATAAAGTGGTTGTTTGTTGTTTTCAACACCATGTAACTTATGCAGTCTACAAGGAATTGACATGACACAAAGTTTCTAGATGATAAATTATAGTCATTCTAACTGATATGGACATGTATTGTTTTGGGTTGTAAATGATATTTGATTTTCATGGAATGGTTGTGAGAGAAAAACAAGAGGACAACAAATATGAACTAAACATTCACTTGAATTCTTGAAACATAGAGGTGCTTCAACCCTTTCATTTACACGTCACTTGTATGAAGAGCTTGTAAATACAGTTATCAAACAAAGCATAGCCTGCTCCCTTTGGCCGAGCTTTATTACTTTGAACTGCATAATACCTGTTTGTTTAAAAGAATGGATGTGTGATGTATAAGTCTTGTAGATTGCTTGGCTATTCCAAAGTTCATTGGTTTGAGTCTTTCATACTTAGACATGATTGAATATAAGTAGTCAATTAGTCATGATACGATCGCTAAATAAATAATGCACATGTGTCAGACTCAAGGGTAGTCCACTGCCTGAACTATTTGTGTGTCGCGGGCCCAATCAGCAGAGAAAATAACACACCCATGCTAAAATGGAGACAGCTCTTCCGTTTCATTCTTCCCTCGCAAATAGTCTAGTAGTCCGCTGCGCTGCCTAAACAGTTTCTGTGTCACGCCCCCAATCAGCTGAGAAAATAACACACCCTCAATGCTAAAACTGAGACAGTCTTTGCCATTCATTCTCACCCTCGACGGGTCTATTTTGGGGGGTTTGCGATCTGTTTCAGATGCATGTAAGAGAGGAGGACATAGATGATTGAAGAATAACAAATTTATGCTTGAGGTGCATTCAACTTGCTACTATAACATGTACCATAGCATTAGCTAAGTTTCTCTAAGGTGCTGAAAAGCATTCAAGAAATTTATTCCTACCCTGTCCTCAATCACTTCTATTCAATCAGAGAGGTAAATTAGAGTCTTGCCAAAGGGCAGTAGTGCTTTGTCCCTTTGTTCCGACTTCTTTGAAGACTTCCCCTAGATCATGACAATTCCGTTCTTGATTGATACATGTCTGAAATACCTAGCTGACTATCTAATGACAGAAATGTTGCATTTCTCCTGCAGGTCATTGAAAGCCAACTTCAATTATTTTTCTTTTTTCCCACCCTTCTTTCGCTTTAGATTAATCATCATTCTACAGGCAGGAGGTGGCCATCTACACAGCCATGGGGGAGGAGGAGGCCATCAGCACCTCGTGGAAGACGAAGAAGAAGGAGAAGAGGGGAAAGATAAAAAACATCCGAAAAAGAATATTAATGTCAGAGCAGCGTTTATCCATGTTATCGGTGACCTCATTCAAAGTATTGGTGTCTTAATAGCAGCTGGTGTCATCAAAGCCAATGTAAGTGATATCCACATATCAGAGCCAGAAGGGTGTTAATTCTATGTTCATGAATACAAGTACAAACTCCCTTCTGGCATCAAACAGACCATATTTCCGTTTTGTGGGGAGGTACGATCGTAAGGAGACACTGTCACATTGAAATGTCTGACTCAGTGATATATCAAATATGTGACGAAATTACCAAGTAACCAAATGCAAAGTCTGTTATTGTTTATAGGGGGCCATATATTAATAAAAGTTAAACCTGATGCTGGGCTTAAGCTCTTGTTCAAAATCAGGTTTAACCAAGGAAGTTTAGTCTGAGGTCCAAATTTTTCTTTGTGAAACGTGCTCTTAGGCCCAGGGTTTAATTGAATTAGTAGAATACGGACCATGGACTTTAATTTGACTCGTTGACAAAAAAACTATTGAGCTTGCTTTCCATTTCCTTATTTGTTAATTTTTTTGCTCATATAATCCCCCCCCCCTTTTTTTTTGTATTTAGCTCATGTTATTTTATTTGAAGTCTTGAACATTCAGTGTAAAGTGTCATGTGATTCACGAGAATTTATTTTACATAGAGAATACCAGAACTGAAGAATACCTTTAAAGGGGAAGTCCACCCTGAAATTAAGTTAGTTTTAATAGGAGTAGAAAAATGAGAGAAACAAGTCAGTGAAAGTTTGAGCAAATTCCGATTAAAAATAATGAAGTTAGGATTTTTTAAGTTGTGATCAATCAAACACAAATTGGCAACTCTATGACGTATCATGCGAGCTCAACTTCCATTTGCTCAGTACTAAAAAAATCTAATATTTTCATTTTCCCTCAAGAAAAATTTCAACCATACATGCACCCTAAATATAATAATTGCAAATATGTTTCTATACTCCCCCTGCAAGGAACAAATATATATTCCGTCATCAATAACGAAGAAAATATTATTTTATGGAATATTATGCACAAAGCAAATGAAGGAGAGCTTGTATAATAAGTCACAGAGTTGCCAATTTGTATTTGATTGATCACAACTTCAATAATTCATAACTTTCTTATTTTCATTCAGAATTTGCACAAACATTCACTCACCTGATTTTCTTATTATTCTGCCTCTATCGAAACAAACTTATTTTGGGGGTGGACTTTCCCTTTAAGATTTTTTTGATGTGGTTATGGGTGTGTAATGAATAAGTGTAACAAGATAGTGGCTTTAATAGTAAACTAACATCTGTGCCAATGTGTATTGAAATGAAAGCCTTTATATAAATATGTGATTAGATGGTGGTTTGATAAACAGTCTATTAATGTATAGCTTGGTTTGCGAAGTTCATTGTTCTCCTTTGAAGTTACCAGTGCTTGATGTTATGCTTGGCTGCCCCTTATAGCTTCATGTGTTTGGTACTTTGGTTATATACCCTTGTGGAAATATCCAAACATGATTTGAGAAGAGTATAGTTACATAATTTACATTTCATTTATATCTCCCATTCATTATGAGTGTTTTATTTGAAGCTTTAAAAGAAAATTTAAATCACAGCATCGCGTGAAGGGACTAAAATGGACTGTAAAACTTTATATTTTATCTAATCATCCAATTCATATATGCGTCATAGAGTGATCAATTTCTCTGTTGAATTTCTTGGCTCATTCTACTTATAAATATCTCTAGGCTGGGGCTTCTCTAGGATTTATTTTTAGAGGGGGGGGGGGGGGGGGGGGCTGACCACCCCCATCCTGGCTAGATAACAAAATTATATGTTTCTGCATGTGCATAAAACAGTGAGTAACAAATTTCTATAATTTTCCACATTTTAGTGATTTTATTACTTTCTTTTTCTCATCTACAGAGCGATTGGAAGATTGCTGATCCTATCTGTACATTCTTGTTTTCTGTGTTAGTCCTCATCACAACTATAACTGTCTTAAGAGATGCTCTCAATGTCTTAATGGAAGGTAAGTCCAATGATGGCTTATAAGTCTTCTTACTTTGGGATACACCATGCTATCTTAGCTAGTATTTCCCTCTATCCTCGCCATAGAAATACTGTCCCATGGCCATCATTCCTTTCCTAGCATCAATGGAAACAAAATAGGAAATTGTTGGCTTTTTTTTCAGACAATTGTTAATCAGAAGAAAGATTAAATCAATGTCTATAGTTGGAACATAGGATATGTATACATTAATGAAAGTTCATTGAACTTAATTCTCTGACTTTGTTCTAGTGCAATCCATTGACATTGCTGTTTACCATTAAAACCACAACTTCAAGTACATACTGTATACCTACATGTACTTGAAGTTAAGTATGATATCAAGTCATGCCTCAAGTGGGTAACCGATTACATGTATATAAATCTGTCATCCCATATATGTATCGGTAAACTTTAGCTTCCTTGAATAGTAAACTGAAGTTTGCATCAAAAGCGGTCTTTAACTCAATATTAAGGTGTGTCAGCACTACAAATACAGTGTGAGTCCAAAAAAAAATTTATACCTAGAAAATTGCTATTGATTGAAAGTCAATTTTTGCACTCTCGCAAACAATGCCTCCTGTTCACCCAAGCGTGAACACATACCACACAAAAATGATACCAAATGATTTGGGATAAAATGCTCTTTCATATTTTGTATATTAATTTACTGTTCATAGATGATTTTTTTAATAATTAGCAATTTTCTAGGTGTAAACTTTTTTTTGACTCACATGGTAGTGTACATGTAAGTCTCTACTATTCTGGAAAACTCTTCTACGTACATGTACATGTATGTATTATGTATCTTGAACAAGCCCAAGCATTAAATACTAAAGGTCCCTTACTACACCCTGAAGGAATTAGATCTGCAGCCATAAGATTGATCTTTCTGTTTTTTATGTTGCAGGTGTACCAAGACATATCAACTATCCATCACTTAAAAGTGATCTACATGCCTTACCGGGAGTCAAACTGGCGCATAGTCTTCATGTATGGAGTTTAACAACATCTACAGTAGCCATGGGAGTACACTTAGCAATAGGTAAAGTATAGTCATTGCCGAGTGCATGTGTAGAAAAGAGTTGCCAGCTATGCTGGAATTAGGGAAAAAACTCGAAAATGAGTTCACTTTTTTTCCAGTTGGGGAAAAAAGTCAGGGAATGTGAGGAAAAAAATTCAAATCGGGGAAAATTCAGAGAATTTCATCGGTCCAAAATGAGAGCGGTCAATCTCATATATTTTGTATCTGATATATTTTGTGTCCAAATCCAATGAGCATATCCACTGGATGATTGACAAGGGTGGCCTTTTTTAGTGTGTGAAAGGCCTTCTTTAATGATCCTGGAATTTTGAAACGTTATCGGGGGAAAAATCAGGAAATTTTGTTTTCATGAAACGCTGGAAACTGGTAGAATTCAACATCCATTCCCTGCCACCAGACTTTGAAGAGTCACACTTCAATTTCTGATTCTTTGTTTCTTTGTTATTACTGGCCTTGAATATCTGCATTTGGAACAAGCTTGATGACATGAGACATACATAACTTTTCCTGTTACAGGAAGCATGTAATAGCTAGTTTTCATCCACAAATATATAAGAACATTGGGCATGATTTGCCACCCACGACACAGAAGGGGTTAACAGCTGGTTTTCACACCGAGACATGACGCACCCTCTTCTGATTCGGTCAGGTGATTTCAAATTGCCATTACCGTCTTTCATATCGCCCAAAACCAAAGTGGCCTTCTTCTTAGTCTATTTTGTCTGTGTGCTTCAAAATCATTTATAGACACTCGTCTCATTAGTCGTCATTCATATAAATACTGTATAGTCACAGCTGTGAACTAGAGTTTGCCTGCCGTTCTGTTTATTTGTTGATATTAGGTAACTTTGTTCAAGATATTGAATAAGGTTTGCTTGATAGTGAGCAGCAGTCTAAAGTATATCTCATAAAATTAAGGCAAAACAATACACCAGTGTGGATGATGTCAACATTGGTACAGTCACAAAAAACTTCAAATTGTATGCGGATGCAATTAATGTTGCATAATGATTCTTATTAGAAATGACCAAATCTTTCTTGTATATTGTCAAAATCAAATGTTTATATAGTACATACAATTTATAAATACAGTCAAACCTGCTTTCTTGACTGCCTGTCTACAAAGGCCACATGTTTTTTTTTTCTCTTGTAATTGGTTTCTCATATGTACTAAAGGAACCTGTACTTAAAGACCACCTGCCTGTAAAGACCGCTTTTATTGTCTCCCTTGGGTGGTCTTTATTATAGACAGGTTACACGTTACATTAAAAGAGGTCCTCCCTGCAGGCTCAACCTCATGATTTTCTTTCAGTTTTATTATATTGAAATTGCACACAAATCCAAAACAAGCATTCAAATGTGTATCACACCTTACGAATGCAGGGTTCGTACGGGTCATGGAAAACCTGGAAAGTCATGGAATTTTACTTTATTGCTTTTAAGGCCTTGAAAGTCATGGAAAATTATTTTTTCCATCGGAAAGTCATGGAAAGTCATGGAATATCAAAATTATGGACAACTATAGTATTTTCTCACTATACAAGTGAATAAATGGAGATATTTCAACCATTTTCTTCTCGTATTTTCTTTCATTCGTAACATACCGACTGATTGTACTTGTGAATGTGTTCACTATGATCGATGGATAAGCGCTGTGTACGTGGGTGTGTACGTGTACGATACGAACTACGTGTGTATGGTCAGTGTATGGCGGTACGGTCCACATCGTGCGCACATGGCTAGCTTGCGAGCGAGCTCGCTAGCGCTAGCTCAGTTCAGCAAGCTAGCGCACGTGTACGTGTGCAGTGTGTGTGTGCATATGATGATGGTGCCAACGCGACATGTGACACTCCAAGAACGAATGTAATGCCTCGATTGCACTTTGGCTTTGCATTAAATTGCGACCACTTAGACTACTACAATTTTTACACTTCTCCAATAAATGAGGAAAAAGTAAATTAGTAATATTTGTTTTTTAATTTTCATTATTTAAATAAAAAAGGAACAATACTGACGTGTCAACAAGGCAAATTGGCAGCGCTAGCTCGTTGACGATCTATATATCGACGCGACGGCATGTGTTTTGAAACTTTTGTGCATGTGTTGATTCTTCATGAAACGGAGTTGTTTATTTTCACAGACCTTGGAACTCGTCACGTGGATATTTTCACCATTACAAATTTTGTGGAAGTGATATTCAAAATGCCTGGAAATTGTCATTTTAAGGATGCTTGGTTAGAACACCCGGATTACCGTGGCTGGATTTTGAAAGAAAGTTCCGATCTGGGGACTGCTAGATGTGCTGTTTGTATGTGTAAATTCAGTGTCCGTAATATGGGCGAAGCAGCCGTCAAGAGCCACAAGAAGAGTGAAAAACACACAGCAAACCTCCAACAGCAACAACGTCGTAAGTGAGCATTTTTAATGTGAATTTTACCGATCCTTTATTGAGCATGAATCCAAATAATGACTGATAATAATTATATAAAAATGAAAGATTTGAGATTATTTAGCGATGCGATGTCACCTCGCAGGCATTGGTTACTGCTTACTGCGACCAGCCCGTTCGGGAGCGTCCCCGGCCCCGGGCCGGGCCGGCTAGGTTACTGCATGCAACAGCCCGAACGCTAACCCAGGGGGCTCCGCACTCACACGCCAGTGTTGTACCGGGCACTGTATGTGGACTGCAGAAAAAAAAAATAATAATAATTTACCTTAAAATTGACCCCAAAAATCATAAAACTAAATTTTGTACTTACAATTGGGTCCAACAGTTTGCTTGCCTTGAGAAGTATTTCCTCCTTTCTATTTCTTTAAAATATGTTTTTAAGGAATGAGTCAAAAATTAGTCCACTTGTCTTAGTGACTTACATCAATTGGCCAAAAGTTGCCGTGAATTTTTTTTTTTTTTCCTTCCCCATACTGTCAAACGGTTGTCAAAATAGGAAAACGTTTATGCTTTTAATGGTCGTTTGAACGGCAGTTAAACGTTTTGACTCGGCCCTAAATCTTACCAAATGATGATATTTATATTTTATTTATTTTAATAGACATTTTTTTCTTTTCTCCTAGATTCTACTCTCTCACTCAAGAGCTTCTTCAAGGCAAAAGGTGCAGAAAGTTCATCAGTATCTATCACGTCTACAGATGCAACAACCAGTACTTGTGCGCCATCAACCTCTAAAGTGACAACTCCCATTCCTGTTGCTGCAAGAGAGGAAACTTTAAAAGCTGAAATACTCTGGTGTCTGAAAGTGGTGGAGGATCATTTATCATTTCATTCTTGCCAGCACAACAGTGAGCTCTTTCAAAGAATGTTTCCGGACTCAGCTATTGCTAAGGGTTTCACGTTGTCAGAAACAAAATGTCGGTATATGACGGTGTTTGGTTTGGGCCCATATGTGCAAGACCTCCTTTATGACAACATAAAACAATCAAACCACTATGTGATACTGTTTGATGAAAGCCTCAACAAGAAGCTCCAGAAAAAGCAGATGGACTTCCTCATAAGAACATGGCAACACAATGAAGTTTGCACTCGCTACTTGACGTCTGTGTTCATCGGACATGGTTCAGCTGTTCACCTCAAGGAAGAACTGAATAAAGTTCTGCACACAGTTGGCTTGGAAAAATTACTGCAAATATCAATGGATGGTCCCAACGTTAATTGGAAGATGTATGATGACTTTACGCGAGAGTACACTGCTGACCTGACCAAATCCATACTGAATATAGGCTCATGCGGGCTCCATATAGTTAATGGTGCTTTTCTGACAGGTGCCAAGGCTGCTGACTGGGAGGTGGAAAGCTTTCTATCATCCTTGTATTACCTGTTTTCTGATTCCCCTGCCAGAAGAGAGGATTATCAGAAGATAACTGGAGATCATACCATGCCACTTAAGTTTTGCAAGACCCGATGGCTGGAAAACCTTCCTGTTGCAGAGAGAGCAATCAGCATCTGGGAGAGTGTATGTGCGTATGTTAAAGCAGTAGAAGAGAAGAAAATCCCTCACCCAAAGAACAAGTCCTTTGAAACTGTTTCAAAATGTACTCATATAACTGATTTCTTAGCAAGACTGTACTTCTTCATATCTGTTGCAAAGCTGGTCAATCCTTTCCTAACAGACTATCAGACTGATGCACCAATGCTGCCCTTTTTAGCTGAAGACCTTACTAGAATGCTTGCATCCCTTATGCAGCGATTTTTAAAGCTGGACAGGAGTACCATTACTTCTCCTTACAAGATAATGCAGGTAGATGTTAGCAGTGAGGCCATTCAGCTGCCCTTGGCCAAGTTGGACATTGGATTCTACACTGAGAAGAAGCTGAAAGATCTGAAGGCGAAAAATATCATCAGTGAGCTGAAAGTTCTGGAATTTCGCACTCAAGCAAAGAAGTTTCTTGCTGCAATGACCCGGAAGCTCATTGAGCGATGTCCGCTTAAGTATGCACTTGTGAGAAATATAGGATGCTTGAGTCCAAAGAACATGGCAAAAGACAAAGAAAACTCCACTGCAAAGCTGAAGAGGGTGCTTAACACCCTTAGTGATGCCCACAGACTTAAGGATTCATGTGACGATATCCTAAGAGAATACTCAGAAGCATGTGATGAGGCATCAAGAAGTGCAGAGATGAGAGACTTTGATCCAAAGAAAGAGAGATTGGACTCTGTAATGTGCAAATTTCTGTCCGAGTCTCGCTATTCGACCCTCTTAAAGTTGGTCCGCATGTTGCTTGTCTTGTCCCATGGACAAGCCTCCATTGAGAGAGGTTTCTCAATCAACAACGAAGTTGAAGAGGACAATCTCCTGGGACACTCACTGATATCATTGAGGGCCATTTATGACCATATCAAGTATGTTGGAGGAATCAAGAATGTGACTATTGACAAATCAATCATGTTGGCTGCGTCTGCAGGCAGGCAGAAATACCACATCTATCTCGATGAACAGAGGCGTAAAAAGGAAAAGGAAAAGAAAGAAGGAAAGAGAAAAGGACTGATGGATGGTTTGGAAGAACTAAAGGCCAAACAAATGAGACTGCAAGCAGATGTGAAAAGTCTTCACACCTCAGCAGACAAGTATGCTGAGGAAGCAGAGTCACAAGGAAGATTGACTTGTATTTCCAAATCAAACAGCCTCCGACGTACAGCAAAGGAGAAGGCATCCCAGTTACAAGTAATTCAGAAACAGATTGATGAACAGCTGAATGCCATTAAGAATTATTAAAGAACTTGGACAGTTTGTTACCAATGCCACCAAATATTCAGACAGGTGCAATGTGTAGAGGGATTTCTTTCAAACAGCTACATGAAGATGTCTCAAGAAAAAACTCATTCAGAAATTATTGACCAGCTTAATGCTAGCGAAACAAGAATTCATCAGCTGATGTGAGTAGGCCTACTGTGTTTTGTTGGTGAAATCAAAATTGGTGATGGTATGTGTGTGAGTTTGTGTGTTGGTGTTGTTTTGTTTTCTTTTTTTTGGGGGGGGGGGGGGGGTAGTTACCTTGTACATGCAAAGGAGAGCTATTGAAGGAATCATGGTGGTCCATGAAACCAGGAACAGGCAATTTGTATTCTTTAGAAGTGAAAATTGCCATTAAAAAATGGACAATTGTTGATATGAATACATGTATGTGTAATTGTAAGAATATTATATAGCAGTGCATATCGAATATGATGAAAAAATAACATGTAATTGTAACAGATGAAATAACTAGATAACAAAAGCTGCCTTTCTATTAGTAGACTTGAAACATGCACTTTGCTTCGCTTTGATTTGAGATCAAATTTTCAGTCTACCGTGTAAAAAAAATGTGTAAAAGTCATGGAAAGGTCATGGAATTCTGGCTAGAAAAGTCATGGAAAGTCATGGAATTAAATTTATGAGAAAGAGTATGAACCCTGGAATGATGACTCATCGTGCTGTTCTTGATGGGCTTTAGGTCAGACTGGATTAATATATGCAGACAAGGGATTAAGATGGATATTTTAAGCTCGTACATTGACGTGCTTGTATCCCCCCAGGTTTCATGGCAGGCTTTAATCCAGTCACTACTTACTAGGCCTGTTTTCATCATCTCAAGATTGACAAATAGCCCGCTATTTCTGATTTGGGAAATAATCCTGAAGTTACAAATCACGTCTTAAGCAGCTCGAGATTTGACCTTGAAACTTGAAACTCGAGCTCGAGAAATTAGCTCGAGATATTTTGCTCAGCGTTTGTGCATAGTGCAAGTCTTCGGGCTGGTGAAGATGCACCGGACAAATAGCAGGATATTTTGCAAACTAGCCTAAGATATCTTGGGATGATATTTTATCTCGACCAAATATCCCGCTAATTGCCACTTTGGGTTGTTGAAGAGGCAAACTAATTGGATAATTTGTGAACGGGATAGTTAAAATAGCAATATTTGGCAATCTTGAGCTGATGAAGACAGGCCTAATGATGTTGCATGGTATTTTTGTAGTGGAAGTTGTTCATTTACCTAATGCAGGGCTTCCTGTTTTATCCTAACCTACTGCTCTGTGTACACATGGCCTAACCAGCCTAGCTCATTAACGTTTATGGGAACCATAGTGATTGATGTTAAGGGGTTTGAGGATATTTATAACATTTTGGGGTGTTTTTTTTCCATGATGATTCTTAATCATAATTATTTTTTAAATTTCAAACATACCAATATTTATGTTTAAAAAGGGCATCCATACTAATTGATCTAGTTCTTTAATAGGTGAGGTAACTTTTAGGTTGTACAGCAGTTTGAGAAGGAATAGGAATCTACTTCATTCTATGTGTGTGGAAAGACAAAGGGAAGAAACATCAGTTAGTAATATTGCATTACCCTGTTTAATTCACAGTATGACCAAAATGAAATGTATCAACTTTCTACAGGTACTGAATTATTTTCATAAAATATCCAAGTTATCTATTATAAACTGAGGCTATTGTCTAGCTATGTAGTTACAACATGTATTTATGAGAGAAACGATGTAAACTATAAATTCTTTTTCTTTTTCTTCACTCTTTCTCGATCTGGCTGTTTCTTCTTCTCAAAGTTTCATACACCCACCTCTCCTTTTCCCCCATGACTTATGTTATTATTATTAATACTAATATTGATGCTGTTGTTATAGTTGTAATTGTTATTGATGTTGTTGTTGTTGTTATTATTAGTAGTAGAAGTAATATTACTATCATTCTCTCTCTTGTATATTCTCCTGCAGCTGAAGAAGCAGACAGTGAAGCAGTGTTGCAGCAAGCATCCAAAATGGTACAGAAGAAATACGGGATCCATTTCTGCACCATCCAGGTAGAAAAGTACCAGCATGATGCCATGACCAACTGCACAAGATGCTCTCAATTATGCTAGCGCCCTCTCTGACATTCCATCTCGAAGTCAATAGGAATCAATCTGGAAAGGCTAATCATTCCCCAAGCTTCGTAATGAAAAAGAAATGACGCCTTCCACATGGGCATTAAAACAGGAATTGATTGACGGGTATGAAATATTCACGTTGGCCGATATTCTTGAAGGCGTACCCAGTTAAAGCTGGCTTAACTTTAATATTCTACTGATTTATGGAAGGCTAGGTGTCATGCTCTATATTTCTTGTAAATTACTATGAATAAGCAAACAGAATCCGGTTGTGAAATGAAAATGAGAAGTGGCATGACATTTAGGTTTCATTTCCTAGTAGTTTTACCGCAGAATTGTAGTCATTATAACAGGTTGGAGAGGTTGACACATGGTGCTCCAAAAATCAGTAGACTAACTCTGCCCACCTACATGAAGTCAGGGTTTGAACTTGGACTCAAGTTACAACATGTATGTGTGTAAAAAAAGTTTGTTTAAAAATATTAACGAAAAGCTGCCCATCATAAACCATCAGAATGCTCTGTTCAGACATGAGGCTGTAAGCCACTAAAATTAGTAAATAAATAGATGAAATAAAAAGAACGCTGTGACAAGATCAATATTAGAAGAGTGTAGTTAACATCATTTATCATTGCTACCACACTGCCTTACCGATTCTTCCTGTGCCTCTTACACTTAACAAAGTCTGAACATGTGCAAGTCATGTTTACACTGTAATTTCGTTTTGTGAATGGTGTACATTTTTACATTAGATGAGACATGAAATCATGCTCCATTCATACTTTCTACTTGAATAGATTAGTCAGGAAGTCAATACTTTGTCCGTTCGTAGCCGAAGGGCCATTAATTCTGTCATGTGACTCTGAGGTAATACCTGTATGGCTTCAAACAGGCAATATTACGTAACATCTGTGATGTCATTAGTTGTTTGCCACCGTTCTCTTCTGAGTGGGTGTATTTTGCCTTCCATAAACACTCTTAGAATTTCCTAGGCAAAGTACATGTATACAGTCATATGATAATACTGCTGGTGGAGGCACCATTTCATTCAGACTTGACTTATGAAGAATGGATCACTCCAACCTTATGGATGTAGCTGGTCAATATTCTTTTTGTGGGGCTACCCCCATCAGCAGTATAGCCCAGCTCATCATCAAGGATGGGGTACTGTTTGCCCCCCCCCCCCCCCCAGGTGACACAATGGACTGTTGGTGAGCAAATTAGAACTTGACCCAGACAATTTGTTGGTATGTTCTGATTGGTGTAGGTGCAAATAAAAGAAAAAGAGTCCTGTATTACGTCACAGGCATTTAAAACAACTATACTAGAGAATAAAATGATAGATGCAGGTCATTGAATGATATCAGTTGATTTCAATCGCAACTATGTAGATAAGAGATAGGAGACCGCAAACTTGTGATTGATTTGGATCAATCAAACTCCTTTAAGACGCGGCCCAGATATCAACTATTTAGTCATAAAAATCATGTCTTTAATCATTGCACTTGGTAATAAAATCTTAAGAAGCATTACCTTGAAATCTAGAATTACTATTAGATTTGAGTGATGACTATCCAGATATACATCTTGGATATATAGGAAATTCCTGTATAAAATAGAAAATACTGCAGCTGCATATAATCCTCAGTTTGTTTTGTTTTATGGTTTATCAAATATTTTACTACTTTATATTCTTCTTTTCATTTTGTTTCTCTTCATAAATATTATGTTGACTAATTTCAATTCCTTGTTTATATTGTAGTGGTTTGGGAAACAACCTTGACCTTCAATATGTTTTATGTAGGTGCATACTGCATATGGCTTGAAAACCCAGAATGCTTTATAATAGAGATAAATTCTGCTGTTCTTAGGATGAGTGAGAATATGGTATTTTGTCCTAAAGGAAAAACATTGAAGGATGAAAGGTGTAAAATTTGAACATTTTAAAGAGACTGATTCTGTTCTGTTCCTGTAGGAAAACATTTTGTCCCTCCAATAGGTTGTACACTGGAATAAAAGTGAAGGGTTCCCAAGTCACAACACTCCAGTGGTGCACATGCTGAATTCATGTTGTTGATACTTAGACACCTGTTTTGCTGATATGCTGCAATGTGACTAAATCTCACCGAAATCTATCTGCAAATTAATTAATTTGATCAAATGTTTAACTTACTTTTATTATTGTTTCAGAATAGGGTGTGACAGAAATTTTATTTGATAGAATTTTATCTTTTTCACAATGGGACCTAGTTATCTTGTATTGTATTGTCATATTTTATGTAATCATGATTGATACATTATGTTTTACTTGTTCTTATTGTTGTTGTTAATACACTCAAACTAAAACTGAAACTTATAGATAAAAGCTCAAGGTTAGAGAATTACAAAGAAAAGAAAGAAGTCTTCCCAACTGTCTTCTCAGTAATGAAATATCCACCTTTTTTGTAAAAATAAATTCCAAAGTAATCTTCCACACAAGATTTATTGTTATGCATCCAACTAATGAATGAATCTTCCTTAGGTATCCAACATGTATGCTCCAACAGCAATTGACCTGGGCTTTATTTCACCAAAGATGTAGGATGAGAGTTAGGGTTGCATTTCGTTTTTATATTAGGTTTTTTTTTGTTGTTAGTGTTTGGTCCGGAGTTGAAGTTCAGAATGTGGTTAGTATAGGGTATTGACCATGGAGCAATTGTTTCTGATAATAAGATGTCAAGTGAAAAGCTGCTCTACCATGAGAGGACCCAGAAGTAATCAAGTAAATTGTGGTAATGGAAAGTAATTATTTCAATGCAAGCAAGCAGGTGCTAGCAGGCGCGTACGCAGGGGGGGTGTTTGGGGGGTTAAACCCCCCCCCCCCTTTGGTATTTTTTTGTGTATAAACCCCCCTAAAAAAAACCTAAAACCCCCCCCTTTGGGATTTTTTTAAATTTTTTTTTTTTTAATAATAATAAAAAATAAAAAAAATAAAAATAAAAATTATTCCCATGCCTGACCTAAAAAAGGCGACCTTACCCCCCCCCCCCCCCAACGGAGCAAAATGTCAAATTTTCAAATTTCGAGACCAAAAAAAAAAAAAAAGTGTCCTCTTACCCCCCCCCCCTCCCCGCTTATTCAGCGGCTGGCTGAGTCGATGCGAAATTTTCGGCCCGATTTAAAAATGTTAAAACCCCCCCTTGAAAAAATCCTGCGTACGCGCCTGGGTGCTAGTCATGAGGGAGCATCTGCTTTCGGAAGGCATGTTGTTACCTTTGTTTACCAGCAATTGCTTGACTTTTGCTAGTTTCATGTACGTGTATATGGTCAATATATTGTGGAATTGGTGTTGTTTGTTGGGAATGAAAACAACATTCACTGAAACATGAAGCTTTAGATTAGATACATGTATGTTTGTGTTTGTCATGTAATCATACATGGAATGCAGTTGAACATTTAAGATACCGTACTGCTGTTTTACTACTGTATAAAACATGAGGATAGTATAAGCAACAAAACCTGCTTAATCGATCACCTGTATAAAAAAAAAAAAATCTCTATATTGACCACAGTATTTATTTCCCTTGAAATTGTTTCTCATTGAAACCTATACTAAAGAAACCTGTTCATAAGGACATTCTGTCTATATACACCACTTTTCTTACCTCCCTTGAGCAGTTTGTATTTATAGGTATCACTGTATTTATATAAAAATTAATCATGCATGATAGAAAGTAATCATATGTAAATTTGCAAGTTATATTTTGACAGAATAGTCAACTTTTTCCATTCTTACAACATATATGAATTATAAATCGCTCTCTACCTCAAATTTGACACTAATTTTCCATTCCCATTTTATACAAAGTTGATGGAGAGATCTTTGGTGGACTTGTGTTTACAACGAGTCCTCAGATATGCATAAGTAGATGGGAAAAGGCTAATTTATGTTTTGACTCGTAAAAGTGAATTTATGGACATGTCTTCCAATTATATAAGAGGTAATATTGCACAGTGTTGGTCAAGGCCATGTAGTAGCTGAATAGTCCTGTTTATAATAATCAACTCATTGTAATCTGGTTTCTTGGTAGATCAATATTAGCTTTCTACTCTCAAATAGGCATGCTATAATTGCCCAGATTGGACAGAATAGTCAGGCATCTATTCGTTATATCTCAATATATGGTATTTTATAATTTAGAAACTCCTCATTTAAAATATTTAGTGAACTGGAAGTTCAGATATTTCATCTGTGATTTATCAGACTTCCCAACTATACAGAATATTTGTTAGTGTTAGATAAATCCTTGTTCATCAGCATTGAACAAATGATTGTGTTTCTTGAACATGCAGGCATGTAGATAGTTCTGAGGAATTTGTCTTTTAAATAACTTTACACCAACACAGTGCATTGTCTTTCCTACATGAAATGTCGAGGTATTGAATTTGAGATGAATTTAATCGTATTAATGATTGAAAAGACTGATAGAATACTGCACAAACTAAGGCAAATTTGAAGACTTTTAAATGTAGTACTATGATGTCTGTCCCTTTAGTATTGTATCAGTCAAAAGTGAAAAGCTGAAATATCCATGTAAGCAGAGGCTTGTATTGGTGTGCAAATAATGTCTGGTATTTTGGTAGCACACATTCAAGAGATTACTATATCTGGATCGGAATTGTATGTATCTACATTAATTAAAGGTCAAATAACATCATTTTCTTCTTCCTCTGCTTTTCATTTAGCGAATTCAGATAGAGTCTTTGTGGCTTCTTTTGCTCAGAGTAGGGTTTATGAAAATAATTATGATGAATTGGCAATAAATACTCTACACAGGTCTCAAGCATACAATGTATTAAAATTACAATTAAAAATGATTTGACAGGTTATATATAGTAATTAGAGATTATCACTGGTTTTGATTTCATCTATATTTGGTTCTATTACTAATCTTGGGTCATGATTATGTTCATAAATTATTCAATATCCACTCTTACAAATAATCATGTTGATACAATAAGGACTATGCAGATTTTGCCTTCTACGTTAGACAACGAATTCCCGCTCTGTAATTTGGTGATATTGTTTTAAAATAGTAGCAGGAGCCATTATAGTCTGTAAAATTAGTTATGAAGTTTATTTGCTTAAAGGGAGTGAGTAAGCGGAGAACTAAATATAATTATATCACATTCATGGGTTATGATTTGAAAAACTAGAAATTCTTATTCAAGAATTTATTATGTATGTGCGTGAAGTAAACGAAAAAAACTCAAGCTTTCATTTATTTTGAGAATATACAATCATTTGTACATAGTAAGTGCAAACGAATGTTGTATATACAGCTTCTTGCATTAGCCTTCTTTGTGTATTTATGTATCAGACAACGTTTAACAAAATACTCTCACATGTAATGATTCTAACAGTGGCCTGTTGTAAAGCCTAATGGTTTGTCATACAGAGGTACTGTAATCACCTGTATCTGTAATTCTATTTAAAAACAGAGTATAGACATATAATTTTCATTTATTATTCAGCTATTATCTCCAACTCTCTTTAGTTCATCGATGCAGATTCATTGAAACCTATTTTGAGTATATATTAAGGTATAGTTTTAGAATCGTTTTTAGTTTTAGGTTAGTTTTTGGTAATAGTTTTAGTTCACTTTAGAATCTTACTTTTCTTGAATAATGTTATCTCTCAATTGAAGTATGTCGTTGTTAGAAAGCTACTGCAATCATTACTTATCATTACCGGAGTGTTGGCTCAGTCAGTAGAGCGTCCGCCTCACAACCGGAAGGTCGTGGGTTCGAACCCCGGCCGCGTCATACCAAAAGACGTTAAAAGATGAGAGTTGTTGCTACCTTGTTTGGCGTTCAACAATAAGGGTTAGAGCAACGTCGATCTGGCGCTGCTCAGTGGCTGCCGGGCTCACGATCAATTGGGCAAAAAGAATTTCCGTTTCGGTTTAATAAAATTTGGAGTGGACTATTAGGCTATTATTATTATTATTATTATTATTATTATTATACGTAACATGTTTTTTTTTTGACATACAATTACATGTATTACTGTCTCAAATGAACTTTTAGTCTACCTTTTCTCCTTATATTGCTTTATATTTCACGTCTTTTAGGAATTGAATTTTGTCAAGATGTTGACAGCTTATAATACTTTTTGCTGTAAACGTAAAATCTGGAGGCATATCAAAATATTTGAAAATCATTGATAACTTAGATGTAATGACAGGTGGAAGTGATATATTTACTTTTACTGGGAATATTTATCATAGGCAAATTTATGTCAATTTTGTGCAACGCATTAAATTTTCTATTAAATTAAATAAATTTAATATTTATAGATTTATATTATCTCTTTATGTAATAATTCTTCATAACTATGTCTGTAAACAGTGGCGGATCCAGGTGGGGTCTGAATCAGACGCCCCTCCCCCCTTGGCGGCCTTCAAAGAGAAAGTGAAAGAGAGCGGAAGCAGAAAATAAGGAAAAAAAAGCAAAAAGAGGCTGAAAAAGAAGAGGGAACAAGACGAGAGAGAGAGAGAGAGAGAGAGAGAGAGAGAGAGGGAGAGAGAGTAACGGGTCGGCGACGTATTTTTTCTTTCTTTTTATCCCTTTCAGGGACCTTTATTTCACATATCTACAACGTTCACAATAACATAAATACATATCAAATTAAAACATTATCTTAGTATATCAGTCAACGCTTTTAACTGTTTTTCATTAACCTTTGCTTTTGTTTTAAATTTAAATGTGACTTCAATTCATATTTCAAATCGGTTAAAAGAGTTCTACCAATTATTATGCGTCCGCCACCGAAGGTGGTGCCGGAGGCATCATGTTTTCGGGTTGTCCGTCCGTACGTCCGTCCGTCCGTACGTCCGTCCCGTTTGACCGTTATCACAATATCTCAAGAACCATTTAAGATTTAAACTTAAGACTCGGGAATAGTATTTATCACCATAGGAAGACGATCTGATTAGATTTTGGAGTACGTAGGTCAAAGGTCACAGGTCACAGAGGTCAACTTATGAAATTCCTTGTATTGAGTTTGTTAGCGCGATATCTCAAGAACCATTTGAGATTTAAACTTCAAACTTAAGGATAGTATGTATCGCCATAGGAAGACGATCTGATTAGATATTGGAGCACGTATGTCAAAGGTCAAGGGTCACAGAGGTCAACTTATGAAATTCCATACATTGAGATTGTTATCATGATATCTCAAGAACCACTGGAGATTTAAACTTCAAACTTAGTGATAGTGTGTATCACTATAGGAAAACAATCTGATTACATTTTGGAGCACGTAGGTCAAAGGTCAAGGGTCATAGAGGTCAACTTATGAAATTCCATACATTGAGATTGTTATCATGATATCTCAAGAACCACTGGAGATGTAAAAACTTCAAACTTAAGGATAGTATGTATCACCATAGGAAGACGATCTGATTAGATTTTGGAGCACGTAGGTCAAAGGTCAAGGGTCACAGAGG